TACCCAACACATGAATACTCTATGTTTACATCCTTCTACCTAGTTAAAAAGTTGGTAGAGGGAGTTTGGGGAGAATTAGTTAAGGCTTAATAATATCCAAATGTGCTATTCTATTTCTAGTCATGTGCTTTCTTTGAAGAGAAATTATCAAAATCAAGTTTTAATTTATTTTGTTCATATTTCTCATGCTGGAATAAGCCAAACAACATATTTAAACAGAGTCAACATCTGATCCTATTGTCAATATCTAGGCAATATCAATCAAATCAGTTTAAATGTAATTACATATAACAAATTTGAATAAACCCAGTATTATTAATGAAATATAAATTATAATCCAACCCTTGTAAAAATGAAAAAAATTTTAAAAAGAACATCTATTTTTTTTAACAAAAAGGGGACTTTTTAGGTACAGTTTCAAACCTTAAGGTAACTTCAAACCTTAAAATTGTAGGATTTCTAAGCCACTAGACATAAATTGGACCAAAATTGAGAGGGCAAAACTACTTAATGTATAAATTATCAGATCTAGATGGTTTCTACACTGAAAACAAAATAAATTTCTAAAAAGGAATGGAAAATGTGATTCTTGCTGCTCAGAATCACAGAAATGGCTAGTTACTTACAGATACAATAGGATATAAACTGGTAGTTGTGCAAATAACTCACCATTTCTAGTTAGAATTATTGTAGGCACTGATGTATCTACAGATCATGTGCCTCAGTTTTCCAGTTAAGAGGTGCCTCTGGGTAAGTGCCGGGACTGCTCTGTTTTAACAATCAGCAACAAAAAGCCCCTCAAGATCCATTCCCATTAGTATTTGGTCAGACCAGTGAAAACGGCATAAAATATAATTTCTTAAAGGAGTCAATTTGTACTGTTCTATTAAACCACATGACAAGTGTTTTAACAAAGCTTGCTGGAATAATCATTGCAACCATTCTGTAGTCAGATGTTGAGACTCACGTGACAATGGTAGTAAAAAATATAAAGAAACATTTTTTGAGGAGTATGTTTTTTTAAGTTTTATAAGTCTACTTCTAGTGCTCAGGCCCATCATATATACTTGGTTAAATTCATTTATTTTATGTATTCGTTTCTCTGTCTCATTCTGAAAAGGAGTTGAGGTTTGTGTACTTGATTTAGAAACAAAACGCATAAATGTAGCCAGAAGATCCTTTTGTTATTCATTCATAGGCAGTACTTTGGCCCCATGGGCATTGATGTAGGTGAGAAGGATTTTGGCTCTTTGTTCTATTACATCGATAAGCTTTTCAATTCCTTGTCTACCCCCCTGACTCTCCCAATAAACTTTATCGAGAAACAGAGATTGAAGGAGTTTCTGCCGTAAGTGCTGGCTCTTCAAAACAGACACTGCAGATTCAGGAAACCTGCAAAAAATAAAATAATATTTCATTCTTAATAATTGTTTGGAAATATTATGCCTTACCCAACTGCTCTGCCTTTCATTACTCTGGCATAAATCACACTATCAAACAGTACCTTGAGAATCAAAACTTTTCTGTCACTTTCAAGCAGATACTTCTCCTAATAATAATATATTAGAATAATATTTTTCAAGAGAACTGAATTTTCTATGCCACTGAGAACTTAACATACCCACATTTGACTGAAGGTCATTATATGAAGGCAAAGAGAGGCACAGAATTTAAAAGGGCTCTGTTAGCCTGGCAAAAATACTTTCCTCAATCTTAAACTCTGTTTCACCCACAGACACCACTTGAATCTGTCAAGTAGAATAGTTTTCTCATAAGTGTCAACATGCAAGAAAATACAAGCATCAAAATGCCAACAACTTCAGTAAAGTTCTCTTCCTGAGTAGAAGTTGCATGACTAAATTTAATGTAAAATAAACCAAAATATATGTAGCAAGAAGAGAAAGGAATCATTCCAAAATGCTCAATGAAACAAGAAGTGCCCTTGATTCAGATTCTACCTGAGGAATTCTGAGGATCTGGGAGCATTTTATGAAACTGAAATACTAAATTGTTTTCAAATCAATGTAGTGAAACTCACATTTTAGAGCCAGGGCATTCCACAAAGAACCATCTCTCTGGAAAACCCATGGCCAATTTAGAAGGGTCTTTACTGAATTACCTTAAGAGACTGCATTGTGCTCTTCATTCAGAAAGTATAAAGCCAGGGGTCTAGCACATGCATTATCTGAAGGACTTGGTAAAATTTCTGGTTCAAAATCATAAGTAATGTATGGGTGAATCACCAATTTGGCCTCTCTTGGCTTTCATTAAAATACTTTTGAAAGCACAGTAAGAATGTTGGGGTTTGATAATAATTCTCAAGTAAACTTAGCTGTTCCTTAAAAACTAAAACAAGAACATATACTTGTTTGAAGAGTATAGTATGCCAGAAGTTTCAGGACTTCTAAGCACCTTTTCCAAATGTCAATGGAACAAGTTGAGGATGGCACTCGGGGCAGGAATACAAGGGATTCAGGTGCTCCTGCCCTTCAGATTTGCAGAAAGACCAAAGGCAGCAGAGCTGGATGTGCCTAATGAGTCCGAGTGAGTGTGGATTTAAATAATGCTGATAAAATGCTCTGAGCTCCTTGAAGACCTGCACTATGTAATTTAGTGGCCATAGTATTAATTAAGCATTTTTGCTCTATGAAGTATTAACAACCCATGATTTAGAAATTCTATGGCCCTTCAACTAATCTAGCTGTGGCAGAATGTATAAGATAAAATTGTTTAAAATCATAGTTCTTTTCAGTAATAAATCCTTTTTGCAGAGGAAAACAAATTACCTGTTTTTGCATTACATTAATTAATAGTAGAATATTCTATGCCTAAATCTTGGTTAGCAAAGTTTTCATTTTTGCTTTTCAATGTGTGAATTACATATTCAAAAAAGATTTAACTTTGAACTCATAGCTCTTCATAATGTGTTTAAAATTCAATCTTCTTTAAAAGCATAAACAAAACAGTATTCATCCATATATAAATGGATGGGTTGTATTCTCCATGCACTCTTAATTCTAAGAGAAAATTTAGAGATAGGGATTTAAGAAGACCCATAATATCAACTCAGTAAGTGGTGCCTTAGGTTTGCAAATTTTCTACACATAAAATGCCCTTAGTTTAGATACTTAAAAGAGAGAACATGCCATATCCACAAAGAGATGTGAAGAACAAGCATTAACAGAGCAAGATACGGCAAAAACTCACAAAACTGGGGCTCATGGAACTCTCACAGGAAAAGTACTGTCTCTAGCGTTGAAAGACACAGAGTTCACATTATCTAACCGTCAGTGCTGGGAAGAACTACTGAGATGTGCTTCAGAGTATTATTTACAAGAGTAGTAACAGCATGCACATGACAAGCTATTTCAGAGAATTATTGCACTTGGATTTGGAAAACCTGGGTTCTACCCTCAATTTTAGACTTGCTTATGTCTTTTCCAGCAGCCCTTAGCTTCATTTAACTGTTAATTATTTTACTAGTGTACCCCTTTATTTTCAAGTCTCAAACATACCCCAATTTCTCAGTCACTCTAATTTCTGACTAAGGTGGGAAGACAATGAAGAGTGGCTATAAGTGGAGCCTGCAATCTAGTCTCAGTCTCCATAGTGGGTGGAAGAGCTCAGACACTACAGCAGGGTTTCTGCCACTATTAAGTGTCTTGGTTTCCTTTATTTCCAATTAGAGGTCGGTTCAAGATATTTTTTCCATTATCTATGTCTACTAGAAGGATTTCCAAATGCTCAAAATCCCGCCTATCTCATTAAATAGCCTCTGTCCTTTTATACTGTGTTCTACTCACCAGATTGGCTCTAATTCTTCACCACATGCATAAAAGGAACTTGAGTTTGTTATGCCTTTGGACATCCTGCTTGTCAATATCCGCATGTCTGTCAGCTCCCCTGCTCCAGGCCCTAATAACAGAGCCTCTGCCACCTGCTTGTCCCTGCTCTGCCAGTTCCTATTCTAGAGATTCCTACATGCTTCCAACCTAATCCACATGGATTTGCACAGTGAGGGCCAAGCAACATGATGGATGTGAAACAGCGGGAGCTTTGTAGATTGCATTGGTTGGTGATGGTGACACCCTGGCTGCACTCTTGTTCTGTTCTACTTGGGTTTGTTTCCCTTTTCTGGGCCTCTATTCCCAGATGCCACAACCACAATTCACTTCAAGAGTAACAATCAATCAGACCAGGATATAAGTTTTCTCCAATCCGTACTACTTATTTAATATAAATCTGATGTTACTACATTCTCAAACTTACTCTTTGATGCCTTTTAACAATTTGAAGTTTAAATTGTCTTCACTTCGGTCAAAGAAACCCTTGTTGTCTATAAAGACCAAATGCCTTGGGTCGTGCTTTCGCTGGATAATGTGTGCGAGAGACACAGAATCTTGGTTGTCACATTTCGGCATCAGTCCATTCTGTACGCAGGTATCTTCCTTTCGAGGTCTGAATCCACAGCAATTTGTATCTAGGCGATTATGAATCTGAAAATGGAAAACGAAAACAAAATCCAAGAGGCTGAGTAAAAACAAAACTTGGGAAAGTTAGAAGGTTTCCAAAGAACTGGTGCTCTCTAAATAGCTGACTTCCCAGAATCAAACAGGACCAGGCTCATTTAATTAAAGGCAACTGTCAGAATAAGTCCAAGGTTCATATCCTTCTGACTCGGCCATGGTTATAAACATTTCCAGCTTCTGCTAACAGCTCCATAGGCAGATCATCCAAGTTAGGCGTCTCCACCCTTAATATTCAAAGTTCCCACTGACATCACATGTTGATGCACAGCCAGAAGAATCTCTGACTCTACTCCAGACAGAACATAGAATCTGCTGTGCTTGTACATATTCAGAAGACTATATCTTGTTTTCTCCCTCAAGTTAGGTTATAGAAAACCTGAGTTATCTCAGTGGCTCTTAAAGTTTACAGCATCCCCTGACCTCTCTGGGCTTCAGTATTACTGTAGCTAACTTGAAATAACATAGAAAAAAATCTATGGAAAAGATGTGACATCCAATAATGATAACTAAAAGCACTACCTGTAAGGAACACACAGCTAGATTCTAAATAAGTGAACATTGGACTTACTGGGGTTTATTATGGGGAATAGGACTACTGCCATATAGAAGAGGGTAAATAGAGATATTAATTAGAAAAGGGAGAGTTGTGTAATTTCCCTTTCTTTGGAGCAAGGAAGGAAATAATGTTTATTAATCAGGGTAAATTAAAGCCTGGACTCAGGTATTAGATAAACATAAAGTCAAATCTCTGCTCTCACACTTGTTAGCGCTATGACCTTGTATAAACTCCTTTACATCACTGACTCTCAATTTAATTACCTGTATAGTAGAAATGATACTATTCAACTTGCACAGTTAGTGGGAAAATTAGTGGACATGTCTGTACACCCTCTAGACCTGACCCAGGCATCTAGAAGATACTCAAGAAATGAAAACGGTTATTACTATTGTTGACATACACAGGTACACACTATGAAGTGATTTAGCTCAAAACAAGGCAAAAGGCTTCCAAGGCTAAAGATAATTTCTCCAATTTAATGAAGGAAACCCAAGCCTCAGAGGGGTTAAATAATCTGCTCTGGGTAAAATATTAGTTAGTAGCAAAGTTAAGATTTAGCCACAGTTGTGTTTGTCTCTAAAACTCCATGATTTTCCTCCAGTCTGTCTTGCTGAATAGTTTAAGGCTAGTCGAAGATTGCACATATATTCATGATTCAAAACCTGACTAGACAAAGACAGTCACTTTTATCTTTTGGCACTAAGTTCCCATCCTTTCTTCCTCTCCTGTGTTTTTGCATATCCTGTAGGGCTGGCCACTATAGGAGCCCAGTTGCTAAGAAACGAATGCAGCAATAGTACTAAAATTGAGCCTACTTTGAAATGATCATTCATTAATTCATCCAACAAAAGCTTATTAAATATCTTCTACCACGGATCAGTGGGCTAGGCACCAAGGCAAATGCTAGCCATGGCCAGTACCTGCCACCACCACTACTACAGCATACTTTAGGAACTGAGCAAATGGTCTTCCTCTCTATTTTCTGCATGTAAGTGGATTTTGTATCAAATAGCATATTTTCAGAAGCAGATATAAGAGAAGTTAGCCTAAGGAAATTTTCTGTGAAGTTTATGTAAAACCAGTTACGTGGGGTAAGGGTGGTCAGTGAGCCTCAAAGGTTTTGGGCTGTTCAGAGGGCAGACAGAAACAACCTATAGATAAGGAAGGCCTCTGCCAGTATTGGTTCCAGGCAGCTGATCTCTCAGGGCCATATGTCTAACCAATGGTTTATCCAAAAGGTCACAAGGCTGACTCTGGAAAACAGGAAGTTCCCACTGGTTAAGGTGCATTCATTTGACATGAAGGCAGGAAAGTTTCCTAAAAATGAGCAAGAGTGCCCCAAGCAAATCATTCTAGTTAAACAGAAAAAGAATAGATTAGAAACTATTAGAAAAATTTATTGAGCCATTTCTATCCCATTTCATTCATTTTATGTAGTACCTTGACTGCCTTTGAATATAAGAAAAACCAAATATATACAGAGTTTGCAAATTACTTGAGATAAGAGGGTCAGGGAGAACATGAACAACAACTCCTCTAGAATCTGCTTCCCATCCATTCTCCCTTTTAAAATATACATAATAGTTAATAATTCTCAAAGAATTTCTATACCATTTTCCCTCATTTTCATGTTTATATCCAGTTATAATGACATTGCATGTGGGGGGGGGGAATAAATCTTAGTTTTGTTGGTGTTGTTAACCCTCACCTGAGGATATTTTTCCATTGGTTTTTAGAGAGAGTGAAAGGGGGTGGAGAGAAAGGGAGCGANAGAATAAATCTTAGTTAGTTTTGTTGGTGTTGTTAACCCTCACCTGAGGATATTTTTCCATTGGTTTTTAGAGAGAGTGAAAGGGGGTGGAGAGAAAGGGAGCGAGAGAAACATTGATGTGAGAGAGATACATCAATCAGTTGCCTCCCACATGCACCCTAACCAGGGCCAGGGATCAAACATGCAAGCCAGGTATGTGCCCTTGACTAGGAATCAAACCCGAGACCCTTCAGTGTACAGGCCGGTGCTCTAACCACTGAGCAACACTGGCCAGGGCAATCCTGCTTCATTTTGACTATACCGTCAAGGTCTGTTATGTTGGATATACGCGCTTAGAACTTAACCCTTAAGGACAAATCTACCAACCCCTTCCTAAATACTGCTCTGAACCCTAAGCTCTTTCTTCATTATTGATTTCATAGTAGTGGGGAAACGACTAACACATATACAGCTGCAGTTCTGCTGTTTCTACAACACAGCCATGTGAGTCATATATATTAATGTTAAATAACAAGCACATTAGAGTTGAGGCCCTAACTTTCAGTGCTTCTGTAAATATTATACTTCTCTATTTTTAAACTACATAAAAAGCATTAAAAATTAGAGGTGGAAAGACCGACTTAGGTCATCTTTTTATTGCTTCCCAACATTACATTGTTTCCTACAGAGTGTTTTTAAAGGGCTTCATCTGATCTAATTCTGAATCACTCAACAGTCTGTGATGATTTCACCACTTCCTTGACAGACCGTTGGGCCATTTAAATCTAGGCAACCTTATTATTGAAAAAGGACGTGTGTGTTCAACTTAGCTTCTCTTTCAGAAAATGTTGACCACTCCTTTAATCATGTCTACGCATGTACCTGGTGGGTATGTTCACAAGTACTGATCGTGTGTGTGTGTGTGTGTGTGTGTGTGTGCACCTACAGATACAGCATTGAATTCAAATCTGGGATTTATTTGTTTTCTCATCAACCAGCTATAGTGAATTATGTCTTTGTATATTTGACCTTGTCTAGCAAGGGCTTAAATAGCTCTTAAATCTTGTTCCCCAGTACTTTCAGTATTTTGTTTACAGTTTTCCTTTTGAATTCACATTAATTTCCCCAAAATAATTTAACCACAAGACCATAACCCATTCCCTAAAATTCAGCACCATTTTCCTTAGTATTTAACTTAGTTACATACTGAATATATTTCTGCTTACTTTTAAGAGAGCTTACCTATTTTTTAAAGCCTAATAAAGCATACTCCAGATAGCTATGCATCTATAATATGTTTTTAATACACTTGTTTAGTGAACACATTAAAACTACTACTTCGTTTAACTATAGCATGATTAGCACTGTAGTTCACACCTAAGGGTCTATGTTCTTAGTTAATTATCCTACAAAGATTATTTGAGAGTAACTTTTGTCTGTGAAACAATTGTGAGTGCTGAGCATCATTACTGCAGTTTAGAGAGTTACATGTACTCACTCTCTAAAACAAGGATAATCTTTTGCAAAATTGATCTACTGAATCTGAAAATTACTGCCAACCATCATTTTCCATAAAATTACTCTCTGCTCTTTTAGGAAAATATATCTTTTCAATGTTTACCTAACTAAAATTATACTCAGAAAAATCCAGGTGTTCCAGCCAAATTTTTTGTTGGTCAGATATTTTTAGATATATTGCCTTTTTCTAAAGTTTCTATTTAAATTCCATTTTCCTTTGGTAGTGTTAGTTTTGCTCATAGGAGAAAGTATCTTCTGAGTGACTTATGTTATGCTTACAGTGCCTAAACACGGATGCCTCTACTGCACTGACTAGCTCTCCACAGCCCCTCATAAATCTACAGCTACCCAATGACTTTCCACCCTTTTGCACACCACCCATTCTAGTGTGTCTTCAAAAAGTGGGTCTATCAAAGCAATTGTGGTAGTTTCTTCATATGTTCTTTTTTTCCTCAAAACAATGTAATTAAATGATTAGCTTCAGGCAATGCCTGAACAAAGGCAATACAAAATTCTAAAAGTGTTGCTAATATTAATAATGAAAAACATAATAGCAGTCATTTATTCACTGTTTAGTATATGCCAGGAACTGTACACTTAATGCTTTATGTGTACTATTTCACTTAATCCTCATAGAAAGCTTAAGGTGCTACCTTACAGGTACTACCAATAGTGCCATTTGACAAATGAGAAAACTGAGGCAAAAAAGACTAGGTGACTGACCCCAGGTACCTGAGCTCATAAGTGACAGAACTCAGGATTCTAACCCAAATGCCTATGGCTTCAAAGTCCATGCTCTTATCCATCCTGATTGTATCCCTCACATGTGGCCTCCAAGGTAGTTCTGCAAAAAGGCAAGTATATTTGCATAGAATGTTAAATGATACATTAAATAAATACTGGTTATAAGGTTTCAGCAGAAATAGAAAGGACTTCAGTATAAAAGAAAGACTCATGAAGGCGAAGATATTACAGTTGGGTTTTAAGAGACAGGCAGTATTAACTAAAAAAAACAGGCAAAGGTAAGTAATCTAAAGACATGTTTAGAGAAACTAGTCCTTCTCAAACTTTCGTGAAAGATCGGGCATTATTTTGTTTTTCTCTCCCCCAGCTCCACAATCTATATGGACTATTGCTTTG